TTATTCTTTAATTAAAATTATACCTGGAATCGGGACGTTACATTTTGTAGTTGATTTTGGGGAAATGCTGAGATCTACTGAGATATGAGAGAACGGTCTGTGAGGCTATGATTGGTTTTTGGAGGGCAATACAAATTCAAAATCATTAGCACATATCTTTCCTCCCCGCTTCAATTTTTAAATTTACATTAAACTTGTCAAAATGAAATTAGAAAAAAAACCCCTAGATATGTAACCTAGCAATCAAACACCATATTTTTCACAGAAATAAATATCACAAATCTAAAAGTTATACTTTATATGATATTATTTAATTATATCTTACATTTTCATCATTAATGGTCACTAACACCTCTTACTGTCTTATTTTTGTGACACGCATCTATATCTAAAATAAAAGAAAGAACTATAAAGAACGAATGTTGAGAGAGTTATCCTTCTTTGAAAAAACAACACAATTCTTCATAGAGCTGCTATTATTCTTTTATAGACCGCTAGAAGGTCTCTATAGTGATAACTGTGTGACATCTATGAGAACGCACCATTTAAAGTAACGGTTTTGATTAATGTAAGTGAAAAATCATTTAGAATGCTTACCGGTTGTGATTGTTTCCACTTGGATGTGAACATTAACATTTTTGAAGTGAAACTTCAAATGAACCCTACAAAGCCAAATCAACAAACATGACAACACAAAAAGAAGCCCAGTTTGACATATAACTAAATTTCCGACAAACTTCAAAATTTTAAGATTTCGATGAATAATTTTTTCAATTTATCAAAATTTTATTTTATTACAGCCCTATATGAGTAATCAAGAATCTAAAGCAAGTGAAAGAAGTAATTGTTCATTAAAAGCCAGTAAAAGTATAGAAAATGGACAATAGAAAATGGACAAATTTATAATCAGAAAAGTATGTTTAGTTCAACAAATTTATTATCAAGATTAATGGAAATCTGAGTTTCTTGAAGAAACAAATCAAATACACAAAACCGATATAAATAAAAAACAAAGAATGGAACAAAAAACATTTGAAGATCATGTCAGAAATGTATGAGAAAACTAATTATAAGAATAAAATAAAATTCTTATCATCTGAATATGAATGGTGATATATATATTTAAAAAACAAATAATGCAAACTTGACAATAAAGTAAGGATAAATAGTTTTCGTTGATGCTCATCAGAAAACATATCAATAAGTATATACCATTAATCGTTTAGTGTAACACTCTTCAAAGCCGAGTGTTTTTATTTAAAAAAATATATTTTTTATATGGACAACAATATATAGCAATATAAATTATTTTTTAAAGCAATTTTCTATCTAATAAAAAGTTGGTGTTTACGTATAAGTTATTAAAAAATTCATAGATTCATAGTTTTGACTTATATACCTAAAACAACTAACTGTATAGTTTTAGCTTTTTATATGTTTACAAAAACAGTTTAAAACAACAATGTACTTTCAAAGTAATCGTATATATAGTGTGTTTTGGAATAAGAAAGTCATTATTTCCAAAAAAAATTAGGAACCTAAGATATCATCATGGAGATCTTTGGCTATTCATCTGTAAAAAAAAGATATAAGTTATATTCATTCAGATTTCAAATTAATTGACTTACTTACTTAATGAGTTTTAAAATTAAAACCATTATCTCAAACTGATTCAATTACGTGAGATATACTTGGAGATAAATTATGAATAATATTGACATTAATTTTGACTCTAAAATATTTTGCTGATTTAATGGGATTAGATTAGATGTTATAGGTAAATAACCGAATTATTAATATGCTTATTTAATGAATTTTTATATATAAAAAAAAAGCTAAACAGGTTAGAATTTTGAAGCGAAAATCTATAAATAAGGGAGTTAAATTAGGAGCAATATTAATTGGAAAACTGAAATGTCGTATATAAATAGAATGATATATTTCGATTGATAACATAATTGTTGAATTTAAAGATTCTAAAATTAAATGTAATTGTGTTTGAATTCTATTTGGTGAAGATAATATTTACAATTTGATCTAAATGTGGAAAACATAGGATTGAAGTACAATCAAGGGCCTAGATTGCTTCATTGGTGAATTAAAAGTTCTCGTTTAATAATATTTAGAGATAGAGATGAATGAAACTTATATGCTTAAAGTTGATTGATTAATTTTTTTCATAACCTCTCAAACAGGAATATGCTAATAATAGGTAATAAGAACAAAGTAAATGTAAGAAATTGGAGAAGAAGAAGGAGAACAAAGTAAAGAAAGAAGTTGGAAAAAAGAATCGGAGAGGAAGACCACTGAAGAAGAACACTGTAAATTGTAGGACTCAATCCAAAATCGTAATAATAATAACTTCAATGTAATCGTATATATAGGTTGTTTTTGAATAAATAAATCAATATCTTCCAAAAAAAATTAGGATCCTAAGATATCGTCTTAGAGATTTTCGTCTATTGATTTGAAAAAAAGATAACAGTTATATTGATTTAAAATTTAAAATTAATTGACTTGCTTATTGAATTAGTTTTTAAAATTCAAATTATTATCTCAAATTGATTCATTTTATGTGGGATACATTGAGAAATAAATTATAAATAATATTGACTTTAATTTTAACTCTCAAATATTTTGCTGATTTAATGAGCTTACATTAGATTTTATAGGTTAATAAATGAATTATTGATATAATCATTTAATGAGTTTTTTTAGTAAAAAAAAGCTAAATCGGTTTGAATTTTAAAGCAAAAAACTATAAATAAAGGAGTTAAATTTGGAACAATATTAACTAGAGAAATTGATATCATTTATATAAATAGAATAATATGCTTCAATTGATAACATAATTACTGAATTTAAGGATTCTATAATTAAATGTAATTGTGTTTGAATTATATTTGATGAAAGATGATGTTAGTAATTTGATCTCACGGTGGGAAACATAAGATTGAAATACAATCAAGGATCATGATTGTCTCATTGATGAATTAAGAGTTCTCTTTTAATAATATTTAAATATAGTTAAGACTTTTAAGAATAACATTATTTAATTTGTTAAGTCGGGCAAATAAATAAGCTATGATTGCAAATTATTTAAGCATAAACAAGATGGATTTTTATCCAAAATCCAAAATACTTTGGAAGTTAGAGGCGACATCCTATCTTTATCATGTCATTTTTTAAATTCAAAATCATCATTTGAATTCTTATTTTTATTTTCAAAATTCTTTAACATCGTACAGAGCGTAATATAGGGCAAGAGTGGATATTGGCCACCCACACAAAATTAAGGTTATATATATATATATATATATATATATATATATATATATATAGAGAGAGAGAGAGAGAGAGAGAGAGAGAGAGAGAGAGAGAGCTAGGTTCAGGTGTTTTAACTAATTTTGTTTTATGATTTCAGGTACTTTCAAGGATCGCGGGAAGACGAATGCGTGATTGCACACAACTTTTGTTTTTATTTCTTCGGGTCTTGGCACAACTTTGATCCGAAATAAAGCTTTTGAAACAATAAATTTTTTGTAAACAATATTGATTAATTATTGATTTTGAAATTCTTGAATTTACTGTGATTTTCAAGTGTTAAAAATCACAAACCCCAATATTCCACTTTCACTACTACGATTTTGCGAAATACAAATATTTCGTGTCATACATTGTGTAGCTTATGGATTCCTACTTTCTGGTGTATAACTCATATGTTGAAAATATCCAAAATAAAATCATCATGGAAACAACATAAGCTAAGTTCTTTGAAAATAATTTTCCTTACAAGGATAAAGAAAAGTCATTTTCCGTTTAAAGAAAAAAACCTCTAGATGAAGGAGGACCGATCAATCTTCACAAAAGTTCACATTCAAATAAAGAGTTTTTCTAAGGTTTAAAAAGAGAACTTGGAGCCTAGTGAAGCAAACATGTCAAAAAAGCCAAATATTTTGGACGGAGTTAAATGACAATTTTAATAAGTAACAAACCCCAAACACATAAGGAATTTATGAATTCATCTAAAACTCATTGGAAATTGATAGCTTTGCCTCCTAAGAAAAAACCAATTAGGCACAAATGGATATTCTAGAAGAAGTTTGAATGGTACTATTAAGAGGCTCACTTAATAACTAAAAGGCCTAACAGATGAAAAAACAAACATATATGTCAATTCATTAATATATATATATATATATATATATATATATATATATATATATATATATATATATATATATATATATTGTGACATCCCCAGTTTCTCGGTCAGAGAAGACCGATTTATTTATGCTTTATTTTAAAATCAGAGTAATCGCTTAAAGAAAACGGTTGCGGAATTTGTTCCCAAAACAAGATATGATAAAAACTACTTTACGAGGAGTTCATGCAGCCGAAATTCAAGGCATTGTTGGACCTTTGGAAGCTGGCTGGAAAAGAGGTACATAATTTATATTTTTTCAGATGGGCATGAAAGATTTGAACTTGCATGATTGTCCTTTCAGATTTCAGATTGCAAAGCATTTATACAGGTCTTGCTTCTCTATTTTAGTATGATGGAATTCAACGAACAATGGAATGGAATGAAGCATTCCATTCCATTGATGCATTTTCATTTGTTTTATATGTTAACTTATAGCATCCAACTTATTTTTCTTTCTACTCTATCGTTGTAAATTGTAATTACAGATTTTTTTTATTAAGGCATTATACCTTTCACTTAAATGAGATTCTCTTTAATCAACTCATTCTCTCCTTTACATCGGTCATTTGATAAAAGATGTGTGATGAAACATTTATAGGAAAATGTTGCACTTTGATTATAGAATGTAGGAGTATTAGATTTTTGGAACCTGTCGTAGCCATGCCGTTAAAATTTAAAAAATCATTTTTTTTTTCCAGATTGTACTTGGCATAAAACTTGAAACGGAGCCTGAAGAGGCAATATCCAAAGGGAAAGCACTTTTTTGTTTCTGTAAACATTAAAAAACATGTAAACCCATGCAAAGCATTGCTCTAAATATAGAAATTTATGCTTTATGACAAAGAATTCAAACAAGAACCATATATGATTACACATTATACGCCAGCTCAAAATCCAAAATGGTGCTTCGCTCCATATTGAATCTGGCAGGGAAAGGGGAAGATCACAACGAAAAACCCCGTATCACATTACTCTATATATATGTATATATATAAAACCTTATACCATCATAACCCAACTTTCCTAACATCTTAAACTTCACCTCTTGCCATTTTCATACTTCTGGATTCTACATCAATGCTCGTATTACTACCATTGCATTTTCCCATCATTTTACACGAGATCTTTCCAAACACTTCCTCCCTTTGAGGCCGGTTTGCATACATAATCCAAAGTGCAAGACTGAGCATCACTCCAACAGAAACAAGACCCAACCCTGCATTCACCATTCGAAGTCGATCTTCTAATGGAGGGCAATGATCGGAGGTGATGATTCTGAATGTTTCACGTACAAAATTACAGTCTTGAAGGCTGAGCAATGGTGGTGCGTAGTGTTGCAGGGCGTAGCTTATGTTCACTGCTCCAACCAGTTCCTGATACATCTCCGGTGTCAATCTTCCTGTGCTCCTGCAATAACCTGATTCTGACACACTGCAAATGTAGTTCTGCCACACCTGTAAATCCATAAGTCAAGTTAGTCAAAATCTGGAAAATGTACAACTATCGATGCACGAGGTACAAGTCACTACACGATTACTCCTCCAGGAAAAAGATTTTGCCTATCTACTAAGAACCCCAAATGCAAAAACGGGTGTTTCAAATCTTGATAAATGTACAAAGGTATCCAAGTTGAATAGGGAGCTATTTGAATAGGGAGCTAAAAAGGTTGAATCTTGAGAAATGTACAAAGCCCAAAGCATGAGGTACAAGTCCTTATAGAATTACTTCCAGGAATAAAACTTGCGGGATGTAATCGAACTTCAAATACAAAATTGGGTGTTTTTCAATGGTAGAAAGTTACATAATACTAAAGTTCGTAACCATAACCACATTAAACACTGTAACAAACGAAACACCTCGATATTTTTAGGGATTCAATTTATAACAAAATTCACACATATTCGGAAGATGAAATTTGGTCAAAATTGACCTTAAAAGGTCAAATTCACGTACCACAGAAGCGTTTGCCATTGAAACCAATTGGGGGGGACATTCCAGTTCGTGTAGTTGAGAATCATACGGATAGCAAAGATATGGCATCAAAGGTCCAGATTGGTTATAGTAATTAGAATTCCCTCCAGGTGGCGCATTTGAATTGGCAAAAGAACCTATGAATCCATTGATGATATTTGTAATATCATTAACCACTAATTTGCTCTTATACAATGTGTCATTAGTAGTTGCTTGATCGACACAAGGAAGAATGTTGCTAAGGGCAGTTTCGGCATGTGGATTATCCACCCATTGACCCATTGCCATACAAGTGTCCGTGATTGCACTGAAAAAAAAAAACACATTAGCGCATTAGTTTGGTAATGGGCAATTTCGTAATTTTAACTTAACACATTGCTAAAACAAGAAAGTTTGGAACTTTATGTAATTTTAAACTGATATCTGTCTTACTTGTTGATAATCACAAAAGCTCCACATAGAATGAAGGTAACTGCAACAAGCAGCCATCCACTGATAATGAATCTGCATAAAGAGATACGATGAGTTAAAATTACAATTATACCCTTTAAAAAACGAGTCCATAAAACGAAAAAAGAATGTAACTTTACATGTAGATTGTGTTCTTGTGACCAAGGATAGACAAAACTGCAATAAAACGAGGGAAAACACAATGAAAATCATAAGACACAAGCCAAAAAACAATCATGTTATGAATGGAAGTAAGTAGCTTCATGCTTTTAATGCATACTTACAAAGGCCTAAAAGTGAAACAAGAAGCATCACTACAGCAACAGCAATCATTGATAATCGCCTGAAACACACAAACAATCAGAAACTTTTTCAAAATTTAACATAAATAGGATAATAATCTTGTGTTCATAGGAGGAATCATACACTGTATCAAAAACGGTTTTAATCGTATGTGAGTTTTGATTCGTTTTCAGCCTCAATGTATTTGCAGCATTGTTTAAGTCAACATTCAAGTGGTCAATATCATCTTTCACATCTGAAGGAAGAAAAACTTGGGCAACATTTACAGTTTTTGCTAATGACAAATACCCCGTGACATTTACAAGTGTTTGAACAGTGTAATCTGATTGGTTTACAACATAATTCAACGTGTCCATAGCTTTCCCATGAAATTGATCTTGTCCCACTGAAAGAAGTATGCAACCAATCCTGTGTAGCAACATGATTGTTACCAAAATTCACAATAAAATCAATAATAAAGTTGACATAATATAAAAAACTTACGCAGAAGCACATGTGAAAACAAGAAGCAGAATCAAGCAAAGCCTTTGAGAGCTGTGTGATTGTTGGCCTTTAATGTCTATTCTCCATCCACAACAATGGTGGATGATCATGGCCAATCCAAAGGACACGAACCATAATATTGCAAGAATGAAAGCAGCAACGCCTGTAAATCCAACAGACTGTTGATAATTTCACTAAAAGCTTGAAAATTTGGGTATTTGAATGTATGAATGAGACTAAATTTATGAATCTTTAAACTTACAGCCCAGTAATGTTTATTGGTGATGTCCCATCCAGCTTGATAATGTTTGAAATTGTTAAGAATGTCGGGTCTTTTTGTTCTTGATCCTGCTAATACAAGTGTATTGGATGGATAGTTGGAGGGAGAAGGAGCTTCAGTTGCAGGTGTTGAGCTCAAGATCCCGTTTCTCCAATGGCCGAAGTTATCTTTCCCTGTGATTAAAAGATTTAATTTCGCATAGGAATTGCGTATTAACATAATGCAGAAACGTTAAAACTCAACAAAAGCTTCATATTCGTTGTTAATGTTGATTTCAGTACAAGAAACGAAACGACTGGAAACTAACGACCTAAAGATAGTTAACGTGATATCTGGAAGCAACGAAATTAGTATAAAGAGAAGAGACTGAAAAGGCTGAAACAGGGCAGGTTGATCGATGAGGAAGCATCTTCCAATAATCTCCGGTGTAAAGGGCGTTCTCTTCAATCCCGATAAACTTGTCATTGTCGTTGTTAATTTTGGACCAATTGATATTCGTAAAGGCGATGTTGGCATATCGCCGATCCAGTCAAAAGGGCCGTTGACGGCGGCGATGGATTGAAAGAAAGGAACGAGAGGACCCGGAATCATACACTCCTCGTATCCGACAAAGTAATCACAAATTGAGTTATGGATGATAGCTCCTCCATATCCATATTTAGCGAAGACTCTGAGAATATGAACGACCCATAAAACAGAGACGTAGAGCTGTGAGACAATTGGTATCCACCCAGGGTTAGAATTTAAGAATTCTTCAGTAGATGTCATCATATGATCACAAACACTCAGCATATTGAACATCATCTGGCTATCAGGGATGAACAAGTTTGGAGAACGACGGTTGATGGTATGCATCGGAGAATCTGAAGCTCCGTCGAGCAAAACAGGAATTCCGGTGACTGCGACAGATGGAACAGCCGGAATTAGGCCGAGTGGGCTACGACTGCGACGGGAGTTAAGAGCAGCGCCGCCGGGTGGGTGGTGTGCCATTTAGGGTGGTGCTACTAGTTAGACTGGTTTTAACTTTTAAGGGCCTAACTATATATACACTAATAGAAAATGACCCAATGTGTCTAGATTACATTCATCCAATTAGAAACAGACATAATCACCAAACTCCAAACAACAAAACAGCAACAATGAAAAACCCCAATTCCAAAACTCATCAAATTTATAATCTTCATAAATCATATTAATGAACTTTAATGATGGAAAACATGAACAGGAAGTAAAGTATGACCAGAAAGTGACCTATCAGTTTACGAAACATTCTCAATTTCGAAGAAAATTTCAACAAGAACCTTGAATCCTTAACCCCATTTTTTTAGAAAATTCAGAAATTCGATTAAAGATGATTTCTTTGTTCACGAAACATGTTGAATTCCGCAAACACAAAAAAACCCAGAACCGACATATCAATAAGCATTAAAAGGATCATATAAAGAGAGCAATGGTTGCGAGCAAACCTAATATGAACTTGGATTGATCTTCTGATTGTACGGAGAGAAGTGAAACAGAGGTGATGAAGACGATGAAGAACAGTAAAGACAAGGGGTTCTTCGCCATTCTTCCTTCAGGTGCTGATGATGTTTGAAGTTGAAAATTTCAGTGAAGAAATCAAAGGAACCCCAAATTCTTGATAGTCTTGAAATCCATTTGTATGATTGAATTACGGAAAGAAAACAAGAAACATGACGAAAGATCGTCTTTCACATTAGTCTTCTAAGCTGACGTATACGTATAGAAATTGTGTATATATAGAGAGAGTGAGAGATCGGGATGAGATGAGGGTGTGATCGCACATGGGTGATGGAGACGAAGAAGCGAAAAGGCGGGTAAGGGAGGCTGTGTGAATGCAGGAGTGTAAAGATTACAGAGAAGAAAGGTATATAAGAAGATTTATGGGTTTTATTTGTCTTTTCTAAAATAATATCAACTTTCAATGTATAAATGCGTAATAAAAAATAGCGATCTTTATGATCAATAGTTCAATACATAAAAATATATATTTTATTAAATAAAATAATAGAATTAAAATCGGAATATATTATAATAAATCATAAAATTAAACAACTATCCCCGATTTTTAATGACCATTTATAAACAAATAATACTTTTTGAAACAGAAGAAAATGCGTCTAATCCATAGTAAAACTTGGTCAAAAAAGCCGAAAAGAAACATAAAAATATATAAAAAAAATAATACGAAAGTGGGATTTTAGTTGTTTCGGTGATATAAGTTTTATTTATTTTATGAGACCGACTTCTTGTCTTTTAAACACGGTGAAACATAAAATAATAATGTGTTTTTATTTCTGGGGTGTATTTTTATTTTCGTGTTAACTTTCTATTATTGTGTATAATATTTTTAAAATACATAATTATATAACAGATTGTAGATTAATGTTCAACACATGTAGGATGTTAACGAGTCAAGCCGAGATTGATTCTAATCAAGTGAAATTTATTTAAAGTTATAGAAGTTAGAACTGGTTAAGAGTTTTTAGTAGCATGTAAAAAACAAAAACAAAATGTTTATATTTAGTAGAATCAGTTTGTTGACAACTTGGTCAACCAAAGCCATCGAAATAGTTTGTTTCTATTTATATTTAAAAAAAATATTAATAAAAAGAGCATCGTTAACCCTAAAATTAATAAAATATAAAATAATATTAGTTGTAACATTTCTTCTCTTGCAAGATAACAAATAACAAACATGGAAAACGAAAGCATAGTAAGGATGGAAACTTGCTTTAAAGAAAAAAGGAGTTAGGCACCTTGTCGTGAATGTTTCTTTGATAAATTACCCAAGTTTAATTCTTTTCCAATGAATAAATTAGAAAATGATAAATTTTCATGATCTAAATAAAAACGTTTTACATTAAAGTTCGCAATTTTAAAGACTAAATATACATAGATCATACTACCATGATACAGAAAAAACAACATTTAATTTAGGTGCAACATTTATATCGGGTTAGTTTTACATGTGGGCCTTCCCGGATCTTAGTGCTTTCCTCTTTTTAATGCTTTAATAGGTCCCACGTGACCACCACATGTTGCCTAATTTACCACTAATCACTCTTTTGTTTCGCCGCTAAAAGACCATTTTTCCCATAGTTTATTTGTCTCATAATTAACTATATTATTCAATTGAGTAATTGTAAAAATGTTCCCTTATTTTATTATTATTATTATTACTACTATTATTATTATTATTGGTTTTTTCTTATAAAAAGTTTGTTTGTGACAGGTTTGTCATTGTCTCTTTGATATTTTTCTTCTCCCTTCTCAATAAACTCTAAATATAATACTTTCAACCAAAATCTATAACAATTAAATGTAAACTAATCATAAAAAAAATCCAAACCCACACTCAGATTTATGCGAGTATTAAAGAAACTAACCTTCGGATTGTAGTGATTTGGTAATATATATGGAAGATATAATGATAATTTATTGACTAGTAGTCAAATCCTGATATTACTAAGTTCATCTGTACTAACTCCAGCATTATATTTGCAGAAATGGATTAGTCTGTGTACAAAAATTGGCACAAAAACCCTCATTAGGAAAATTTTCTTAGAAAAAACTAACTAAAGAAACAAACGGAAGCAAATTGTAGCAAGCTACAGAGATGAGTCCATGACAAGGTTAGAGATGGCATACATTCCTTGGTCTTCATAGGGTGGTGGGTAGCAACCATATTATATACGTGGTACAAGATTGAAGTTATAAAGTGTGGTCTAAAAAGACTATAATGTTGATCAATCAGAAATGAAGTCAAAAAAACTTGAACAAAAGCTATGTATGAACTGTTTCATGACTTTAAAAAACTCGTGATCATAAACATAAGAAACCAATGTGATGGCGTTATGGAAACTTATAAGTTTTATGTAACTATAGCAAAGTGGTTTGAGAAGTAGTCTACCATGATGAATTGGTGAATTATTTATGACATGGTGATATTGGACATGTAAATATGTCAAATGGAATAGTTGACAATTGTAAATTCATCAATATATGGTTTATATGTAATATATTACTTATTAGTTTAAAGTAAATATATAAAAAAAATCTTTATATTTTGGCTCCATGTACAAAAAAGTAATTCTTGGTTATTTTTTACAATTTAACCATTGAAATCGATTTAATATCAGTTTTAAGAGTTAAATTGAAAAATAAAAAACAACCCTTATAACCGGTTTAATGTCGGTTTTAAAGGTTAAATTGCAAAATAATAATAATAATAATAATAATAATAACAATAATAATAAATAAATAAAAAATAAAAAATCATGGATTACTTTTTCGTTAATAATGTCAAAGGTTAAGGACTTTTCTAATGATTTTTTATATATATACTAAATTTATTCGAATAAATCTTATATTTATTTATTAAAAACATAAAATAATTTTCTCATGATATATATGTGGTCTAGAAATGCAATCCTTACGACAAATCAACAAAAATCATATTATTTGTATTTAACATGTGTTTTCATAATTATTGTAGCTCTTATATTAGGGTTGTTGCCGTAAAAGCCCTCATTTTACATGAAATGTGTGGTTATGTCCTAAGTCCAAATTTGTGTTTATTAATGGCTCATATTAGGTAACTTTTGTCATTTTGGGCTTTTTAGAATATTATGAAGAGAAAAACTAGTAGGTGAACAATGGTAATGATGGTGGGTTAGAGATGAAAAATGCAGAAGGTGAGTCGGAGATGGTGTTGATAGGGGCTATCGATGTTTTGTGGTGGAGATGGTGTTGTTGGTGGCAAATGGTGGTGGTAGTAACAACCTCTCATATGCATTATTTTTTGAGGTGTCGTTCAATTGTGAAATGATATTTGATAAGTTTTAGTTTTATAATAAATGTTTTACACCCAAGACCTAAAAATTCAACAATGAAATAACATTTGACCTAGAAACACACTTATTGCGAAAAATCAACAAATCCCTCTTAAGTTATATAGAATATAGATGATATATTTATGATTTTAGTAATGATATTTATTAAAGAGAAACACAAAAAATTCCAAACATGATATATAAATTATCATTATTGTGTTTTTTATTTAAAATTTTTGTTATTTTGAGTTTTTTAATAAATAAATATAAGTTTTCTTCAAATAAATTTAGTATATATATAAAAAAAACTCCAAAAAAAATCCTTAAACTTTAACCTTATTAACGAAAAAAACATCCATGATTTTATTTATTTATTTATTTTTGCAATTTAACAATTAAAACCAACACTAACCGGTTACCATTTAATGGTTAACTTTAACCTTACAATGATTGTTTTGAAAGTGTTTATCCATTTTAATGGTTAAATTGCAAAAAATCATTATATGTGATTTTTTTTTATCAATAGAGCCAAAATATAATGATTTTTTTTGCACATATCTCTAGTTTTAATAACTTTTTATTTTATTATCGTATCAAAGTGATTTCGTAATAACTTAACTTGAACAATGAAGAATCGATTTTGGAGGTAATTAGAAAGAAACTAAAAGTCTCCCGTTAAATTACAATTGAATGTTATATTTTAGAATTTGTATAAGATGTTTGGTCTCCAGTTAAGTTGTAGTTTAGTGTAATATTTTGGAATTTGTATAAGATGTTTGGATACTTACGATTCATTTTTGGTGATGAAAGAGTCTTTTAGTCATTGTGAACTCGTTTAAGATGTTCGGATATTTATAATACATTTTTTTGATGATGAAAGAGTCTTTTAGTCATTGTGAACTCATTGGGATTATTTACTGTAACTGGAATTCATAAGATCGAGTTCTGCTTTATAGATAAAGTTTAATCTAGTTTGATAGGCAAATTCCAAGTTGGGTTTTCAAGGAATGGTGATTCTTGTAGTTATTTTTACATGAGGATCCTCATTACCCTATGCAGATACACGCAAACTTAAATTTGGGGATAAATTCAAGTTCGGATCGGGGTTTAGAATATTAAAATTCTTTGTGAACCTAT